TTTCTTTCTTTTTCTCTCTCTCTTTCTCTCTCTCTCTTTCTTTCTTCTTAAGTAATCTCAACATCCAACATGGGGCTCGAACTCACAACCCTGAGATCAAGAGTCACACACTCTACCAGGTGCCCCACCTTATATTTTCTTCCCATCCTTTCCTGTCTCATTTTCCTTCACTCTTGTTGCCTAGGGTCCCACCTCCCAATAAAGGACCAGCATGTAAGCCTTGCTTCAGGCTCTGTTTTCTAGGAAACCTAGAATAGATAATGGGCTTACATTCCAGACCCAATTCCAATGCCTGTGCTCTTTCCATCATTCAACACCTACTTTATTGACCACCTACTGTATGCCAGTGCTGCCTCTCACTACACCTAATGTAAGGTGTACAGGAAGTGTGATGGTGGAAACTGGTGACTCCTTTTTCCAGGGGTAGAAAGGAGGTGAAGTTCTCTTTCCCAGGAGATGAGACTAGAAATGCGGTATGGAACCTGAGAAAAGTGGTAAGGGTTCAGAACGGCCACTGTGGGGAACAGGAGAGAGGCTAACTGCCCTCTAGGTGTGATTGGGACCCTGATGTCAAGCTGCAATGCTGACCTTTATTTCTAGAGGACTGATTTATAGTTGTCTAATCAATGGAAAGAGAGACCACATTCACATAACATTTATTACAACATATTGTTATAATTGTTCTTTTTTTTATTATGTTGTTAATTGCTTACTATGCCTAATTTATAAATTAAACTTTATTATAGGTATGTATTTATTGGGAAAACATAAAATATATAGGGTTTGGGGCGCCTGGGTGGTTCAGTCAGTTAACCGTCTGACTTTAGTTCGGGTCATGAGCTCAGGGTCCTGGAATCAAGCCCTGTGTTGGGCTCTGCACTCAGCGGGGAGTCTGCTTGTCCCTCTTCTCCTTCTGCCTCTCCCCTGGCTCCTGCTCTCTCTCAAATAAAATAAAATCTTAAAAAAATAAAAAATAAATATAAAAAAAAACACAACAGTTTAAAAATCTCCAAGCTAGGGATGCCTGGGTGGCTCATTCGGTTAAGCATCTGCCTTCAGCTCTGGTCATGATCCCAGCATCCTGGGATCGAGTCCCACATAGGGCTCCTTGCTCAACGGGAAGTCTGCTTCTCCCTCTGTCTGCTGCGCTCTCTCTCTCTCCGACAAATAAATAAATAAAATATTTAAAAAAAAATCTCCAAGCTAATTATCATACCTGGCAGTATTGTAAGGCTAATACTCTGCTTTCAAAGCACTTACGACTGAGTGGGGGTAGGGAAAGTAGGAAATAGAATAAAAATGTGGGCTTTGCTTCCAATATAGTATATACTGTGTTTAAAAATATCAGGGCAGGGGCTCCTGGCTGGCTCAGTCAGAAGAGCATTCGACTCTTGATCTCACTCCTGGTTGTGAGTTCGAGCCCCACAGTGGGTGTAGAAACTACTAAAAAATAAATAAATAAACAAAACTTAAAAAAAAATCAGGGCAGCTGTAAATAGCAGAAAGAAAGCTTTGCATGGAAAATAACAGAATAGGGACGCCTGGGTGGCTCAGTCGTTAAGCGTCTGCCTTCGGCTCAGGTCATGATCCCAGGGTCCTGGGATCGAGCCCCGCATCGGGCTCCTTGCTCAGTGAGGAGCCTGCTTCTCCCTCTCCCTGTACTGCTCCCCCTGCTTGTGCTCTCTCTCTCTCTCTCTGACAAATAAATAAATAAAAATCTTTAAAAAAAAAAAAAGAACAGAATAACTATTACTAACTTAAAGAGAATCTCATCTAGAGAAATACCCTGAAATTTCAACAAAATTAACCCCTAGTAATAAATATAATACAAAAATGTTATCTTGTTCCAGTTTTGATAATCAAGTAACCCAAATGGAAGACAGAAAATTCCAATCCTTCTGTTTTAAAACTTCAACTACAAGAACTCATGAGAATATGAATAGCTTTTCCACTTACAGGATGCTCTTAGAGATGGGGTACTGTCCTCTTTTCTTCTACTACTCTGCATGAAGTACAACCTGAAATTAAAGATTTCACAATGAGAGCTTCCTAGACACCAAAGCAGAGCTGTGAGATTATGCTTCTCTTTATTGCTGTACATGGGCCTTGTCAAATAGACCACAAATATGTGTGACATTATCTGAAAAGATGCAGTTATTCTTCCGTCTGAAGAATATGCGGTCTCCCTCCTATCCAGTTACTCAGTCTTTCACCTTGTTTGGTGTGACCCAGAAATTAACTTCATTTTACAGCTCATCACACTCAGCATATGCTCCGAGAAATGGATTCCTTTGTCCGGAGACCAGTAAAATCTCTGTCTCCCTTGGGGATTCTGCTATAGCATTTGTTCGAGGACAGTAATGGATGTCCTAACCAGTCCGTGTTTTCCAAAGCAATGACAACTCAAGGTCATATCTTCAAAATGAGGCATGTTCAATATAATGACTGCAAAAAAGTGTACACATGCAGCACACAGACATTCCTGGTGATGTCCGTCATGCATATTGCTTCTTTTTCCAATATGACATTTAATGGGGATTCTTATTCTAAGAGGCATTTTAAAAATCAACAAATCAATTTCTAGTAAGAAGCCTTTTGCATGAGTTAGAGCAAATGTTCAATGAGTCCCCAGTGTTTGCTGAGAGATGTGTCCACAACCAAAAATGTATACCACATGATTGATGAAAAAAATGGTCAAGATTACATATTCTCTCAAAATTCATGCCCCAAGCCAAAAAAAAGATTTAATTATGATCTCCACCAAACAACTTCAACAGATAGATCAGCAATTCTCTGTATGAAATTCTTAGACAAAATATTTTCAATGATTTGGAGTTTCTTGTTCAGGAAGATAAATTGCTCAGTAAGACTGAAGACTGAATACATTTCAGTAAAGAGGCTGTGACTTTACAAAGGAGAAAGAAAAAAAGAAAATGTCTAGAACGACAGGACATTTCCCCAAACAAATGGGAAAGAAAAATTTGGAATTTCAGGGAATGTGCCAAAAATGCTGCAGGACAAATCATAGAAAGTTATTCAAAGTCATATCATAGGGGCGCCTGAGTGGCTTAGTTGGTTGAGCAACTGCTTCCAACTCAGGTCATGATCCCAGGGTCCTGGGATTGAGCCCCGCATCAGGCTCCCTGCTCGACAGGGGGCCTGTTTCTCCCTCACCCTCTGCTGCTCCCACTGCTTGTGCTCTCCTCCTCTTTTTCTGCCAAAGAAATAAATTAAATAAATAAATAAAATCTTTCAAAGTCATATCATAAAACCAGAATACCAAATCTCTCTTGCAGGCGAGTAGATCAGGCAGTGCTTTCTGAGTATGAAAACTCAGCTAACAGAAATAGATCAATTATCAGCTCTTCTAATAACACAATAAAATAAATACCCTTTGACTGAACTAGAAGGAGGAAGGTGATTTTACTTTATGTATAACTTGAACTAATAGATGTGAATAGAATTTTTTACCCTGTTTATACACACACTTCCAACCAATTTAATTACTATAGTCTAGATTTTACTTGATGTCCATATTGCATATTATAAAACCATAAAAACCACCTGAGTATGGATTTTTCATGTATAGTCTTTACTTGAGACACTCAAACCAGTATGGGATTCAAAACTAAAAATGGTAACAAACATAAAAGTGAGCTTATCAAAATGAGCATGGCTCAGTCTAGTTAAGCTATTATAGAATTATGGGTGCAGGAACTCCTGGTCCTCCTGAAAGTATATTAGCCACCAGTGCACTGCCCAGCCTCTGAGACCCCCTCATTGCTCCTCCCTTGGTGGATGAAAGTTTTTAGTGAAATCCAGAACAGAGCTGTCTGAACAGAAAGAAAAAAAGAACAAAACTATATTGACACAATTTGGAAAATGATCACAAAAATGGTAGAAATCACTATTAGACTCAGTGTTTTCTCTCTTTCACTGAGTGTAATAAGAGACAAAAGCAAAATAATAGAAGACCAAAAAAAAAGGAAAAAAGGAATTGAAAAAAAAATCGGTCTATGAGGTAGATGCCAATAAAAATAATATCAGACAAATTTGAAATTAAGGCTGAGAGTCTTAAAGGGGACAAGAAGAATATTTTATATTCATAAAAGTTATGATCCACCAAAAATATAAAAGTCAGGAAACTTTATGTACCTAATAACAGATCAAAATATATACAGCAAAACCTGATAGCAGAACAAAAAGCTATTGACAAACCCAAAAGAAAGTGGGAGATATTAACCTATCACTCAAAAATCAACAGATCAAATTTATACAAAGATGTAGATAGAGGGATTAAAAAATACATCACACAGGTAGATTTTCTTACCTAACAACAACAAATACATATCCTTTTCAAACACTCACTGAATATTTGCAAGTATTAGCCACATATTAATGAGGCCAGTAAAAAAGTTAAATGAATTCCTCAAATTAGAAATTATAGAAGCTTGGGCGCCTCAGTTGGTTAAGCAACTGCCTTCGGCTCAGGTCATGATCCTGGAGTCCCGGGATCGAGTCCCACATCGGGCTCCCCACTCGGCGGGGAGTCTGCTTCTCCCTCTGACCCTCTTCCCTCTTGTGCTCTCTATCTCTCATTCTCTCTCTCTCTCAAATAAATAAATAAAATCTTAAAAAAAAAGAAATTATAGAAGCCACATTCATTGGCCATAATGTACTAAAATTATAAGTTAACCAAAAGGTATATCCCTTCTCTTCTTAGAATTTTAACCTTACTGTTCCAAAAAATTATTGGTTTAAGGAGGAAATCTCAAACTAGTCAGAAATCAAGAATGTGGCCAAAGTAATACTCAGAGGAATTACAGCCTTAAATGACTTTATTAGGAAAAAGTGTGCTGAATATCTTCTGCTGGTCTTTCCACATTCACTCTTCCCCTTCTCCATACTGTTTGGACCTGGAGAAAATGACCCTACGGATCGCATCAAAGAGCTCCCTACCCTCTGGAGTCTTCAGCACTGGCAGGTGTCAGAGAAGTGCATAAGGTCAGGTGTCTACTCCTCCAGACTCCCACGGTGGGGTCACTGAAGCTCTTCCTCCTTAGTCTACAGAAGACAGAGGTGTGCACACCTTTTAAGTAGTTCCTTTATTCAACTTTCTTCAAGCAACCCTCTTTCCTGCTAGAAGTTTGCCTGATATAAGACTGAAAACAAATAGTGTTTCAACTCAAGAAACTAGGAAGAAACACACACTATACCTCTAAAAAAGTAGGAACAGTAATGGATAAAGATAAAAATGGGCGCCTGGGTGGCTCAGTCAGTTAAGCCTCAGCCTCTTGATTTTGGCTCAGGTCATGATCTCAAGGTGGTAGGATCCAGCCCTGTACTGGGCACGAGCTGGGCATGGAGCCTGCTTAAGATTCTCTCCTTCCCTTTCCCTCTGCCCCTCCCCTCCTTTGCTTGCACGTGCATGCTCTCTCTCTCTTTAAAAAAAAAAAAAAGAAAGATGGGCGCCTGGGTGGCTCAGTTGGTTAAGCGACTGCCTTCGGCTCAGGTCATGATCCTGGAGTCCCGGGATCGAGTCCCACATCGGGCTCCCCGCTCAGCGGGGAGTCTGCTTCTCCCTCTGACCCTCTTCCCTCTCGTGCTCTCTATCTCTCATTCTCTCTCTCTCAAATAAATAAAATCTTAAAAAAAAAAGAAAGAAAAAGATAAAAACAAAAATCATTTATATAGGAAGCTTAAAAGCTACTAGAGTAGGGACGCCTGGCTGGCTCAGCCGGTTAAGCATCTGCCTTCAGCTTGGGTCATGACCCTGGGGTCCTGGGATCGAGTCCCGCATCGGGCTCCCTGCTCCTCTGGGAGCCTGCTTCTCCCTCCACATGCCACTCCCCCTGCTTGTGCTCGCTCTCTCTCTCTGACAAATAAATAAATACAATCTTAAAAAAAAAAAGCTACTAGAGTTGATCAACAAAACAAATGACCAATAAAAGAGAAAACTTTGTGTGGTATTAAAAAAAAAGACAAGAGAATAAGAATGAGGGAGAAACATGAATAACATTAGGAACAGAAAATAGACATAATCCAGACACCAAGGAACTTTTTAAATTATAAGAGAATGGTTTATACAACACTATACCAATACATTTAAGGACGAAGTAGGCCATAAACCTTTTTAAATGCTTATCCAAAACAAAATAATACCTGAACACAATTGTGAAAGTTAAATAGAAAAAAATAATAAAAAATAAAAGTTACATAGAGTTAATAGTATTATGTAAATCCCCCGGTTCTGATAATGTTTTATGGTTACAATAGGATGTTATCAGTGGGGAAATGGGATGAAAGTACATGGGAACTCTCTGTAGTATTTTTGCAACTTCCTGTTAGGCTAAAATATTTCAAAATAAAAACTTTTGAGACTCACACAGCTTTACAAAGTTATAGCAGGTCCTCACTCTAGCCCTCTAGGCTGTGATACCTATTCTCCCAAATAAAACTATAAACAGTAGCTATCCTCAAATTTCTTTTTTTTTATTTTTATTTATTTATTTGACAGAGACACAGTGAGAGAGGGAACACAAGCAGGGGGAGTGGGAGAGGGAGAAGCAGGCTTCCCGACGAGCAGGGAGCCCGATGTGGGGCTCGACCCCAGGACCCTGGGACCATGACCTGAGCCGAAGGCAGACGCTTAACGACTGAGCCACCCAGGCATCCCCATTTATTTGTCTCTTTGTTCTACTTTCTAGGTAATATCCTCAACTTCATCTTCTGATTTTCCAGCTCTTCTATTTTTTTGCTAACATATTTTTTAATTCCCAAGAGGTTCTTGTCTTCTGGGTTCCTGCTTAGAGCCCCTGCTTTTGGTCCATGAATGCAAGATCGTCTAGTACATCTCTGTACTAGAGGTCTGAGTTTTTTTTTTTTTAAGAAGTTTTCTCCTGCATGAGAGGCAGCCTACTTCATGTACATGGTTGCTGTTTTACACCAAGCTTTAGCCCTTGCCCAAAGAGTAGTATACAGATAGGTGGGTTATATATTAAAAATATACATTCATAAAAAAAAAATACATTCAGTATATGAAAGTACATATTATATGCATATTCATCTATCAAGGAACAACTTAAGAAGTGTAAGAGGTAGTCCCTTGCATTCAAGAAGTATACACAGTGAAGGGTATACAGAGCGTCAGACTTAGGGAAAATGAATAATGGAAACACTTCACAAAATGTTAGGTGAGTGGTCTGCACCAAGCTTGCACTCAGGCCTTCACCACTCCACTCTCTGACCAGCTCTCAGAACGGGAAGATAAGGATGGAAGAAAAAGGCTGCCCGCCTTTTGAGGCCTCGCTTCAGCCCTGCCCCACCGAGAAGCTCTCTCTGAGGTCCGGGACGCGTTCCAGCAAAAAGAAAAAAGATCACCAAGAGACACCGGTCGCCCCATTTCAGCGCGCAGGTAGACAGCCCCGAGTTAGATCCTTTCCTCAATTGGACGGTCTCTAGCCCCAACCCGAGCGGCTTCGAAAAGTCAGATGAGACTGGGCCCAGCCTCCAGGCTTAGGGCGGTGAGCCGGGCGGGCCGGGCTTCAGCCTGGAGCGGGTCAAGGAGCTCCAGCTGCTGGAAGCCCGACGCAGGCGGGCGGGGGCGGGGGGGGGGGGGTGTTGGGAGGGAGCGAGTTCGTACCTCAGTTCGCTCTCTCCTCTCCCTCTCTCTCCCTCTCTCTCCCTCTTTCTCTCTCTCTCTCTGCAGGACGCGCGCCGTCTGCGGCTGCGCTCGCCCGCCCCTTCTCTAGCCAGAGGCCAGACTTGTTGGCGGTGGGGCTTCCCACTCACTCCGGCGTGGGGGCTCGGGCAGGCAGCCGGGGGTGGAGGGGAGGAGGAGATCCGAAGGTGCGGGGTTAGGGAGGGAGAGGAAAAAGGAGGAAGGGGAAGACTGGGGGGGGGATCCCACGGCCAGCGACTCAGAGGAAAGCCACCAGTCGTCATGGCCATTGTCACGGACCCCCCCTGCCACGCCCACGCACGGGGGGATGGGCCGGGCCCTGGATGTCACCTGGGAGGGACATCCATCCACAAACTGATCTGGACCCTGTGTGTGCCTCTTCCCCTCCAGCACTCCCACCCCCACTCCCGATGCTGAGCCTCTGGGCTGGGTCACTCCTCCCCACCTGGGAAACTTCTGGCAGTCCCGGTGAAATCAGGGCCCTGCTTTCTCCAAGAAAGCTCTGAATAATAATTAAGGGGGGAGGGGAGAAAGCCAGAGGGTAAATCAGGAAAGTAATAACAATAGCCACTGTAGAGGTCTCAGCCACTGTCGAAGTCTCTGCCACGGTGCTGTCGCTGGGCTACGTCAGCACACCTGGGCCCACCTAAATCTTTCCATTCCTTCCCTACGTTTGGTCCCATTAGTTTGCGTCTAGACATCGATTCCAGTGAAAAACAATCCGGGATGTAGGCCAGTATTTGTCTACACAGATGTTTAGCACGGCTCTTGGTAATATTGAAAAATTGGAAGCTACCTAAATAGTCAACAAATACGCCATTGATTCTAAATCATGGTACATCCTTTTAGTGGAATTTAATGCGCACGTTTAAAGTCATTTTTGGAAGAATACTTAACGATAAACAGAAAGCGTTCACTACGAAGTAAGGGGGGGCAGTTTACAAAGCAATTTCTGTTTAATAAAGAAAACATATAGACATAATTTGGACAAAGACTGGAAAATAGTTTTCTCTCGGTGGCTGGATGCTAAGCATCAATTTTCCCTAAGGGTAAGAAGGAAAGAAGTTATTTTAGAATTCTCGACTCCGCTCCCCGTGGAATCCCCTCTCCCTCTTGCCTTGGGCTGTCACTCGGGGAGAAGGGTACTCGCTTGCCTACCCTCCGCGTCCCCCTCCCTCGGCTCGCCACGTGCGGAGGAACCCATGCTTCCAAGGTGCGAGACAAGCCGGGGCCCAGAGAGCCGGGTGGGGGCGCGCTGTGTGTGGCTGACGGGACTCCGCCTTGTGCTGGGGGGGCGGGGGGGGCGCGGGCCAGGGTCGTGGCGTCTCCACCCTTCTCACCCCGAGTGTTGATTTCGGGAATCGATCGGAAATTACAGGGCCAATTAAATGCCCTCGGATTTAGAGTTCTGGTTAGGCCCGAGAGGCTTCAAACAGCCCCTCAGCCCCTTGGAGGTCTCCTCCGCGGTGACCTTTGGCATCCCCTCACCCCGAAATCGCCGAGGGCAATCACTGTCGGTGGGAGGGTTTGTGCCGCGCCTCCCCCGCCGCGGCCCCCACCCCCGCCCCTGAGGCTGGCGGGGAAGGAAGATCTTAGCAGCTCAGAACACTCACCAGATCAACGCCCACTCGAGACCACAAAGCAAGGGGGGGGGGTGGAATCCGGGGTGGTCGCTGGGTCCCTCGGAGACGCAGTCAGGAGAGGGTGTCCTGGCCGTCTGCTGGCCACGAGGCATCTGCTTGCGGGTCCCTAGGAGCCGTGAACGTATTCTTCACAGCCTGTCATGTTTTCCACCCCATCCCCCAACAAACTGGCCGCCCTATTCTGTGCTTTTCTCTTTCTGCCTTAATTCCCCGGTTGGAGGCTGCTAGCTGTTTCTGTTGTTTTCCAATTCAAATGTTTATTAGCTTTGCACCCCAATGGAGCCTTTCCAAGTGGGGCCAAAAAAGAGGAAGACCTGACAATGGCGAATGTTAACCGAGATAGCGTCTACCTTGCATATTTGTTTGTTCACAGAAGACTTAGTGATAATAATAGAGTCCCACCTCCTCATTTGACAGATAAACAAACTGAAGCCAGTGGAGTGACAGGCCAGGCCTGGATGGTATGACACCTTCATTGCTTAGAGACAGTCTTGAAAGAATTCAAATAAGACCTGGCGAAGCTTGTTAGGAGGGTTTTCCTATCTAATTTCCCTCTGCCTAGTGACTAATGCCTGGAAAATTGTAGTTTTTATCTGTTTTAAATGAAAAGCTGTATGTACCAATCTCTGCATAGACATACACCTGCTGGTGAGAGTTTGGATTCTCTTTGGCCTAGCATTATATTGTGAGCTCTTCCCAATGTCAGGCTGGTTTGTAGAAAGAATGCCAAACATTCTTTGAAAAACTTCAACAGCCACCTAGTACCCCATTGTATGGATGCTACAAGCCCTGTTGCTGAACATTTATGTTGTTACCAGTTTTCGTTACCAACAACAGTGCAGTGCAGGCAAGAACACGTTTGTTCACAAACCTCTGCCCTTCTGACCCGGAAGAATGGATTCCTTGAACTGGAGTTACCAGGTTACAGACTAGACTTTCTTAAGGCTTTGGATGCACAGTGCCTAACTGCTTCCTAAAAGGATTGTGCCAGTTTTATACTGTTCCTGGTAGAATGAGTTTGCCCACCTCCTTTGACTACTGGTGATGTTGAGAACTTACTGAGTGCGTGAAAGTAACAAGGTCTAGAAGCAGCTAGAGGGTGGCCATATGGGATCTTCCAGAAGCATCACAGGGTAGTGTACTTTTTTTTTTTGAGAGAGAGAGAGAGTGCACAAGTAGGGGTGGAGGGGCAGAAGGAGGGGGGGAGAGAGAGAGAGAGAGAGAGAGAGAAAATCCTTTATTTTTTTAAGATTTTATTTTTTTAAGATTTTATTTATTTATTTGACAGAGAAAGACACAGCAAGAGAGGGAACACAAGCAGGGGGAGTGGGAGAGGGAGAAGCAGGCTTTCCCACGGAGCAGGGAGCCCGATGTGGGGCTTATCACAGGACCCTGGGATCACGACCTGAGCCGAAGGCAGACGCTTAACGACTGAGCCACCCAGGTGCCCCGAGAGAGAAAATCTTAAGTAGGCTCCAAGCCTAGCACCGAGCCCAATCTCACGATCCTGAGATCGTGACCTGAGCTGAAATCAAGAGTCAGATGCTTAACTGACTGAACCACCCAGGTGCCCCTGTGGTGAACCTTCTTTACTGCATCTTGAACCCACGGTGCTTGGCATCTCTAGCACCCAGAACCTTGCATGTTGTTGACTGAGTAAATGCATTCCCTCCTTGCCTCCCACCTCTCACCCCCAATCCTACAGGTCATACCGGGTAGATCTCTGGGCTGTCACCGCTGTCTGCTAGCACAAGGCATAATAAACTCATCATTGTGCTGTCTTTTCCTTCCTTGTCCTCACACATGCTGTGTTTTCCTATTTGTTCCTTTGCTTTGTGTCCTTGTCTTCCCTCTCCGGGCTGTCAGATATCCTGGGTAGCTGCTGTCACTCTTACATAGGGACATTTTGGTTCCACAGTAGTGACAAAGGGAAGGCCAGATCTTGTCTTTCTTTCATGCACTTGTCCATTCGTTTATATTATATCCAGGGCACTATGCTTGCTGGAAACATAGAAGGAAATAATACCGACTTTAATATCCAACATTTATTGAACATGTCCTAAATGCCATACACTGTGTAGGAACATGGTTTTACTTAATCCTTATCATAGCCCAATTAGGTAAGTACTATTATTTCCCCCATCTTATAGATAAGGGAACTGAATGCTTACAGAAGTTGAAGGTCACACAGCTGGTGAAATGGTGGAACCTAGACCCAAATCCAAGCAGGTGGCACTTAAAGCTAGATTCCAGAAGAGTGGGGAATGTTCCAGGCTGAAGGGATAGAATTAGTAAAGGCCCTGGGGCAGAGAACAGTTTGGCTCATTGGCCAGAGCACAGAGTTCCAAGAGGAGTGTGTCTCACAATGAAACCGGAGGCCTTGTGGTTAGGGTGAAAGGTGTTTTTTTCTTTTTTAAAGATTTTATTTATTTATTTATTTGAGAAAGAGAATATGAGTGGGGGGAGGGGCAGAGGGTGAGGGAGAAGCTGGCTTCCCACTGAGCAGGGAGCCCCACACGGGACTCGATTCCAGGACCCCGAGATCATGACCTGAGCCGAAGGCAGACACATATGTTGCGCCACCCAGGCGCCCCAGGGTGAAAGGTTTTGAATTATAAATGTGAAGTTAATTAAAGGTGCTCAAGCAAAGAAGTGATAACAGATTTGGGATTTGAAAAGATGCCTCTGGCCTGGCTGGGAAGCAAATGATTTGGGGAGGGGCGAGAATAGATGCAGTAGCTATCCCGTGGGTCCAGGTTGAGACGATGGGGCCTTGGTTCAGAAATGAACTGTATGGATGTGAGGTGTGACAACCAGGTTCCTAGGACAGTAGGTGACGGGACCATTCCTAAGACAGGGATATCTGGTGGGCAGTCAGGTTTGTAGGAAAGATCTTAAGTTTGGTTTCAGATGTGTCAAAATCAGTTCCTTCCAATGCACACAGATTCCAAGTAAGAAGTCAGATCACGGGACGCCTGAGTGGCTCAGTCGGTTAAGTGTCTGCCTTCAGCTCAGGTCATTATCCCAGGGTCCTGGGATCAAACCCCACATTGGGCTCCTTGCTCAGGGGGGAGTCTGCTTCTCCCTCTGCCTGCCGCTCCCCCTGCTTGTGTGCGCGCGCTCTCTCTCTCTCACTTGCTCTTTCTGACAAATAAATAAATAAAAACTTAAAAAAAAAAGTCATGTCAAAATGTAGGAATTATCAGGGTAGAGATGACCACTGGAGCTAGGGAGGGCAAGGCAGGAGACCGGAGTGACAGTGTGCAGTGAGGAGACAATGCAGGATGCTGGCATTTACAGATGAAGTCAGGAAGGGACTCTGTGAAGGCTCCAGAGGAAACAGGAGTGG